GGGACACGTGTTTTAAACTTAGTCACCACATGCCAAAATTGATTTTTGACTAGACCATCCGTGTGGACAGCAATCGAAATGCTGGGTCTAACACAAGGAACCTGATATATACTTCGCGCCAGCCTATCGCAGGCCATATTTTTTAACCGGCGTTCTTGCTAATAGCAGTCCCCTCGACTTCTTGTCCAAAAAAGGTTTTTTTCATATTTTGCCTCTGAAAAGGGTTTAGGACACGTGTTTTAAACTTAGTCACCACAAGCCAAAATTGATTTTTGACTAGACCATCCGTGTGGACAGCAATCGAAGATGTTAATTTCACAGATTTTATCGAGCGCGCTGCGACTGCATTCATATAGGTCACGGAATACTCTCTTGCTGCTAGTTACAAGATATATTCAGTCAGTTTACAGACAAAATATGAAAAATTGCATAAACGTGATAAGTCGTAGGCTTGCATAACTTACAAAGCAAACAAAGGTGATCCCAAGGCGCCTCTTCGATGATTTTCGCTTAATGCAGACGTCGACCACGCCATGTAAAAAAAGAGTAAAATTTAGTATAATTCAGGTTATTACAGACATACTGAGTACCAAACGAGTTCAAATACGTTACGGTGTTATTTACAAAACAACACGCATACACTCGGCAAGACTTCTTGCCGTTTCTTCCGAGATTTAGTACACGGAACGCAATGCACCGGCTCTCCTTCCTGCAGGAGGATCAAAATATGGAATTTTGACCATTTCCAGAATTTTCAAACAGTTTTAATAGTCCATTATCATGGGCAAAATATACGAGTGAACTTTTTTTCGACGGGAAGTCGAAGGGACCGCTCACAGCGAGGGCGGCACTTAGAAAATTTCGCCGGCAAGAGACTGGCGCCGATTATACAATAGGCTCCTCGCGTTCGGCCCAACACTCAATGTGCGATGAGCCATTCAATAGTGAAAGTTATCCAATATCTGGAAGTAAGCCATCCAATATTTGGTAGTGGGCAATCCAGTGTGTCAGCCACTCAATTTGGTCAGCCATTTCAAAGTGAACCATCCAACATTTGGTAGTGAGCCATCAAGTTTAAAAGTGAGCCACTCAATAGCGAGCCATCCAATTTGTGAGTCATTCAGTTTGGAGAGCCATTCAATTTAGTGAGCCATTTAATAGTGAGCCATCCAATATTTGGTAGTGAGCCATCCATTTTAAAAGTGAGCCACTCAATAGTGGGCAATCCAATTTTTGAGCCATTCAATTTGGTGAGCCATTTAATGTGAACCATCCAATATTTGGTAGTGAGCCATCCATTTTAAAAGTGAGCCACTCAATAGTGGGCAATCCAATTTGTGAGCCATTCAATTTGGTGAGCCATTTAATAGTGAGCCATCCAATATTTGGTAGTGAGCCATCCAATATTTGGTAGTGAGCCATCCATTTTAAAAGTGAGCCACTCAATAGTGGGCAATCCAATTTGTGAGCCATTCAATTTGGTGAGCCATTTAATAGTGAGCCATCCAATATTTGGTAGTGAGCCATCCATTTTAAAAGTGAGCCACTCAATAGTGGGCAATCCAATTTGTGAGCCATTCAATTTGGTGAGCCATTTAATGTGAACCATCCAATATTTGGTAGTGAGCCATCAAGCTTAAAAGTAAGCCACTCAGTAGTGGGCAATCTAATTTGTGAGCCAATCCAGTTTGGAGAGCCATTTAATGGTGAGTCATTCACTTAGGTACTACTCATTTTGACACAATCCACCCACAATATACGCATGCAAAGTCGTACAGGACACTCGAAACTGCCAGCTTCGCAACTTACCCTCTGACAGGTTTACAGATTTTTTATAATTTCATTAACTTCATTTTATCAAATTAGAAGAAAACAACTTGCCTTCGATATTTTTCTTGCCCGAAATAAACTGCATTTAACCGCAAACATATCCTGTAGTTAAAAAAAAAGCAAAAGGCAACGATTGTAGGAAAAAGAGCATTTCACTTTGTGATTTAGCTTGATCAGATCACCTGCATGATTTGTTCTTCCCTTCCTCCGCCCTTCCCTCTTAATCAAACGTGTTAGAACTCTTGTTTCCATTCGACATTTTCATAACATAAGAAATTTACTGACTATGTGATATAGCGTGTATAAGCTTTTCTGAAAAGGAATATTACACGGAATATTTACACTTGTGTATTTTGCATGTAGAGCATCATAAAACATTATCTCACATCGCGCTGGCCTTTTCCACACTTGATTTTTTTCCGTTTTCTTTCTCTTTTTTTAATCAAAATATAAACGAAATGTGTTTGAATTCTTGTTTCCGGTGTATCGCGCCTTTAATTTGATCCATTGATACCCATGATTACATTTTAAAATATTATTCAAGTTTTGTTGTTGGCCAAGCTCTAGCGCAAAGTTTATATATGCAAATCTCAGTGAAACGGTAAGTGTTGTTTACAATTGACGAAATACGTTCAGAAATGAAAAGGGAATAATGATATGTTTGAGAAAACTAAATGGATAGTACAAATATTATGTATTGCCAACAGGTTCGGCCTGATTATACTGCTAAATCGGGACTTAATTATTACCAAACTTCTGCGCACTTCCGTGACACCGGTGTAAACTTTCAGAGGTCCTCTAAGTTGGAACTGAAAAAGATCTTTAATTGAACAACATTTGAGGGGAAGACATTTCGGGGACGACAAGTGCGTGTGCGATTGAGTGATATATTTACTTTGTAAATAAATTCGCTAAAGGTTCGATTTGCATATATAAAAAGACGGTTATAATTGTTTTTCGTTAGCTGTAAGTTATACTGAAGCACCGTCATTTGTAAGCTTTTCATGATAGGGTGGGCCGCCAAAAAGACAATATCACAAATGAGTACCGACAACTGTTTGACAGTTTTATTTCCTTCAAGCTGACAAGTTCACTGCCAAATCATTTTCTTTTTCTTTTAAAATCTCCACGGAGTGTTGGCGTAGCACAGTGGGGGTACTTAATTTTCTGAAGGTGCCAAGCAGGTGCTGTATTGCTTATAACATTTTCTCACGATTTGTTGGTGGTTAAAGAACCACTGATTCGATGCACAGCTACATTTGAGGCCAATTTAAATCTAGAACACTAAATGGACTCCTAGCAAACTGCAGTGTGACTCTAATGATTGCACACTGGATACTTAGTGCTGAACGCCAGGTTTAAAATTATCTGCGGCAAACAATTTCATTTGTTTTAATTGTTGTCAAACGTTGCTCATTCTATGTTCTTGCCTCATCATGGATTTACTCGAATCGCTTTCTCACGAACTTGCCAAAAGAGGTAACCATCTGCTCTGGATTGAAACAGTAATGTTTAGCATTATAAATGTCGCAGCTTTCCTTGGAAATCTGTCAGTCTGTTACGCGGTCTACCGAAACCAAAGACTCCGCACACTTTCCAATATGTTCGTCGTCGCGTTGGCTGTGAGTGATATTCTTATGTCAACCTGTTGTATGCCATTTTCTGTTGTTACTTTGATTCGAGGCCAGTGGATCTTTGGTGACACCTTTTGCCGGTTCCATGGGTTCGGAGTGTTTACATTTGGACTGGCATCTTTGCACACCATGGGATTAATTGCTGTAAGTCGATATTTCTGCATCGTAAAACCTGAGAGGTACATCGTGTTATTTAAAAAGCAAAAAATTCTGCTCTACATAGGTGTTGTCTGGTGTACCGCTTTCATTGGTTCCGTTCCACCCTTTCTATTCAGTCATGGTGGGTTCGAATTCCAACCAGGCAAGGCCATGTGTTTGTACACATTCGACACCAACATAGCCTACACCGTATTCATCGAATGCGTCTACGTCGCGACACCTTTGACATTAATAATAGTCTGCTATGCAAAAGTGTTCTACACGGTGTCACGATCCAATCAAGTTTTCTCATTGGAAAATAACCCCCAGGTGCTAAGAGCTAACGTCGAAGAAGCAAAAGTCACCAAAACTTTAGCAGCAGTGATGGCTGGTTTTGCTTGTTGTTGGCTTCCAGTGTGCATCATCGACTACACTGATGCAGCCTACGGCGAACCCACTCTGCCCAGACAAGCTTACCTTACATACGGTTTCTTGGTCTATCTGAGCAGTACAATCAACCCGTTCATTTATGGAGCCACAAATAAGCATTTCAGACGACAATACAGAGTGATTTTTAACAACATGTTTTGCATGAAAGTATGTCGCTGCTCCGAAACGTTTGACGCGGACTATTCCAGCGATTGTCGAAGACACGGCCCCAAGGTACAGATCACAAGCTTGGCATAAATCAACCGAAATATTGCAAACGATTGAACGTGAATTTGACATTTCTTTAGACTTTTGGACTAGTTGAAGCCTACTTAGTGCCAATGTCACCTTCATGATGCAAAGTCAGCTTACAGGGAGTCAGCTTAGGAGTTTTGTGGCTTTGCTTGTCGAACCTTGTCAGCGCTGATTTCCTTTAGCATGAAGCGAAGCATGTAATGCTTCTTCCCCCCTGGATACCATGCCATTCCATCACTTTCCCATCAGCCAAGATTTTTAAGCTTCTCCAACTGTTTTCCAGTGGCTTATTTATATTCCTACATATAGAAGAAGCATGGTGGGTGACGCGCTCATGGTTGGAAGTACTAACCCTAAGCAAAGTTCTGGGTTGAAACCCGTGCATTATCATATTCCGTTAATGAAGACCAGACACGTTTCCTACTGTAACTATATGTTTTAACAATGACATCAGGCTTTCCCTACCCAAGGAAGACTAGCTTAGAGCTCTCAAGCGAATGGAATTTAGCTAAAAAGGACACAGCCTGAAGATTGAAACACAGACTTTTAATCTACCTTTCACTTAAAGGAATATCGTGTAAAAATCCGCAAAAAATCGGTAATAACGCTCTATTTGTAACAACTCTGGCTTTCTTTGCATCACCCTTAAAATATAACCACAAAAGTGAATCATGCACATCCAAATACAAATCTAAATCAAATCGGTTGTCAAAGGGGTGAAGACTGTAAAAGTTTAAAAACTTACATAAGAAGCAAAAAACGAATGTAAATAGAATGTTCAATATATAACTTAAAACAAGAGATTTTGTAAAAACTCTTGCTTAAAAATACAAAATTGGTTTAACGCTTCCTGCACACAAGTGCTGTGTGGGTTACGCAAGAGTGGGTGTTTTAAATTTAACGCAATAAGATTTTAAAATTATGACAGCTACAAACACAGTTCATAAATTCAAGCCATTCTGGAATTTACCTTGATGTGATTTTGCTTCCAATAAAAGTCCTGTAAGAAAGAGTAGCAATTGACGTGATTCAACTTGCTAAGTTGAAAACTGACGTGAAGCGATGTCAGTGTTATTTATGACATACCCAAGAACTTAAACTTCAATCCCTTCATTTTTCTCTTTAATTATTCGTTTTGATAATCTATTCGAATAAGTAAAGATTTGGTAAAGATTTTGGTAAAGATTTTGGTTCTTTATCCAAATCTTTATTGTCAAATGATAATCTATTGCAGAAAATCTAGGTACTTGATTCATTTGTGCTTCGCTTTAACCCTAATCCCATCTCTCATCCCCTCCACGTCACCTCTCAAATGATCCAGCCAATTTCTTGATGTTGGTTTAGCTCTTTCGCCATCTGTTCAATCAAACAAACTTGTGCCGATTGTGATATAAAAAGTGATACTATTGGTTCTGATCTTAACAAATTTTAACCAATCAAAATGACTCTTATTTGAGCAGCTCTTTTCCTCCCAGAGGGTTTGTGGGAGAATAAGAAGTAATCACAAACATGGCGTCTTCTCCGGTCTACCCCAGTTCGCCAACTGGCACGTTAAAAAGGGACGCCTCGAAGAAAGACTCTGGCAAACTTGGTTGGGTTGGAACACTCACTCGAAGGAAAAAAGGCCAAGAAGGTAGGCTTCTGTGATCAAGAATTTTCTCTTGAATTATTCAAACCTCTACGATCGACGGATCTTGACAGTTCAAATCAGATGTGAAGTGCCTTGTTCATTTTCAATTTGGTTCTTTGTTATGCTTCTGTGTACCGTCTGGTCTCCCTTGAAAAACTCAATGAGGAATATCCAGCAATTTTTGCGGGGATTCTACCTTTAAAATTCAATTTTCACTTCAGAAATACATTGGCTGTCTGTGAAGAAAACATTCGATCGATTTTTGTAAATTCCATTGTGAATTCCAGCATTTTAACACACCCTTTCCTGTTTCCACGCAAAGTATCGATCGTGTATTTTTTCGATATACTGAGGTAATTCAGAGATAAACATATTTTCCGATTTAGCTGTTAAATTTCGGATTTAAATTTCGATGAAATAATTTTCTGCAGGTGTGCTTTCATGTCAGGGAATCTCCTATTTTTATTGTAACGTCTAAACTTACACTCGTAAATAATTTAACAGATTTATCAAAATATGGTAGTTTCGATAGCTCTGAGAGATCTATCTTTGTAGAGATTTGTTTTGAGTAGTTATAGGCTTCATGCTTTAGTTTTAGAGTGGTGCAATGACACCCATAATTTTTTTTCTCGTCTACACTTTCGCGGTAGACAATTCTTTTGATGTACTTGTACGTTAACAAATTTGGTTTATTCTTACAGTTGATGAACTTGAGACAGAGGGAAGGCATGCCATTGAATCTCCAACGACGCCTATCACTGTGACTCCAGACACTTTTGATCTAGGTTTGTGGCTTGTTTATGTATTTATTAGTCAACACAGTCATCTTAACCCCTAAACTCCCAGTAGTGATTAACATGTAAAGTCTCCCTATAATATCCACACATTATCTAGCAGACAGGTATTGAGAATACTCAAACTTATCAGGTAGACATTTTTAATTTTGATTTAACACCAAATTACAAGGAAAGGTGTAGTAGTAGTTTCAGAGGGAAGAATTAATAATCAGATCTTGTGAGGTGCAGGGCTAACAGTCAAATGCAATCACTTGCTCTTTGTGTGTGTTGTGTGATTCTTGGCATGGATAAATTTTTCAAAGTATGTTTTTTTTTCTCAAATTTTGCACTTAGATGAAAATGAAGAACGATCAATGGTGGAGCCTGCTTCACTTGAAAATATAAAGCTTAAGGAATTGAAGGAGGTAACTAAGAACAATGATGAAAATTTTTATTTGTGAAATGATTTTGATGTTAGGACAGAAGCTGGCTGTCGTGACAAATAAATACACATGACATGACCAGCAACGATACTGGATTATACTACAGTTATACACAAACAATAAATGATATTATAGGACTGAGTGGAGTCCAATTCAGTTTGTATCATTTTAGGGATTAATGAAGCGTGAGCCGGATTTGTCAATTATGAATATGAGTATAGTTAGAATTGGGCTATACAAAGTCCTGTTATCAATTAATTAATACTATAAGAAGTAGGCTAGCTATGGTTTTCATGAAAAACCACATTTATATCAGCAAATAGCATGACAACAGCAGTCTAGTTACACACAGGCGTTACACATACACTGTCCAATATCACTGTCCAATCACATGCATTCGTACATGCTCCTATTAGCACAGAAATTGAGCTGGAATTTTGTTACTTGGTAAATCACGTGGGGTGTCAAGTTTGACACCTTTTGGATTTTGTGCTGGGTTATATTGAGAGTATTTCTTTCTATTTATACACCAGATATAACCCTCACTGTCTCCTGATGTTTAATGTCATGCTTAATTCCTGTCTTACTGCAATTTGTAAGGAGAATCTATTACTTTATCAGAGGTCAATGAAGTATTTCTCCCATGCAATTCCTTCATGAGCCCCTTTTTATGCCCGCTAGGTGCTGCTAGACTGGATTAATGACGAACTTTCAGAACAACGAATTGTCCTCAGAGACATTACAGAGGACTTGTATGATGGTCAAATTCTTGCGGTTCTTATGGGTATGTTACCAGCATAGAATGTACTCATGTTTGCACCTACATTTGAATTTATTTTCATGGTGAACCTTCAGAACTGCAAACTGTCCTCAGGGACATCACAGAGGACTTGTATGATGGTCATATACTTTCTGTTCGTATGGGTCTGTCACTAGCTTAGAATGTACTCTTGTTTGTAACTATATACAAATTTATTTTTGTGGTGTGCATTGTAGCTTTGCTTGATGCTGTATACTTGTCTAAATCTCACTGTGGTGCAATTATTAGCTCTTCATAGGGAGCTTTTAAATTGCTGCTTTGTTATATGATTAAAATTATTTGTTTATTCAATGATGTTGGCATTTTTTGTTGTTGTTAGATAAACTTGCAGGGATCAAGCTCTCTGAGTTTGAAGAGGTTACTCAGTCAGTGGAGAGCCAGGTAGGTAATGTGTGAAAAAACAAACATAATAAAAACAAAAATTGGCAATTCTGAAATTTGGCAATAATAAAGTACTAGGTATATTTCAAGGGTTTCCATCCCACCCAGTTCTAATTAGAGGGCCACTCCTTCCCCACTTCCAATATCTTAACTTATTCAGACAGGACTTGCATATTTTGGCGTAGCTTATATATATGAGCAGGCCCTCATTATTTGTGCTGCAGGACATGTGTTTCTCCACTTGTGGGAAAATTTGAGAGAGGTCAGGTAGATTTTTGCCAGGGGTCTGCCACCAATGTGCTAGACCCAATGACTTGCATTTTTCAGGGCCTGATACTTTCCCCCTAGGCAAAAAAAAACACTTGTGCTGAAACTGTGAAAGGGTGCAATTGCAAGCTAACTTTGGTATTCCATACAAAAGCTGTGTATTCTGCATCTACCCAAAAAGCTAGTCTGATGGGATAATGTAATCTACCTTTAGGCAGACTGTGAATGTGTGGCACATAAATATTGAGCAGTCACTTGATCTGTGTACTACTAAACTTCCAACATAACTGATTTTCATCCTGTAGAAAGCCAAACTGTCTATTTTGTTGGAGCATGTGAACAAACTGCTAGGAGTCCCCCAGCATAGAGCAAAATGGTCAGCAAATGGTAAGTTTGTAAAAATTATGAAAAGTATCTGTTTGGCACTTCTTTCAGGTAGGGAGATTTAATGAAAAGAAAGAAAAAAATATCCATCAGGGTTATTGTTTGATTGAGGACCAACTTCTCATCCCAAAATTATTAGAAATGTGTTGCAAACAGTGTGGAGAATTTGTGTTTAGATCATAGGAATGAAAGGGT